TGGATGGATTCCCCCCTAAATTGATTCTGAATTCATTGTTATTCATGTTTTATACTGTATTTTATACTGTATTTTGTTGCATCAATTAAGTGTTTTAAATCTGTTGTTAGCTGCCCTGAGCCTGGTTTTTTGAACCGGGAAGGGTGGGGTATAAATAAAAATTATTATTATTATTATTATTATCATTATTATTATTATCATTATTATTATTATTATTAAAGGTAGAGGTACCCCTGCCCGTTCGGGCCAGTCTTGCCAGACTCTAGGGTTGTGCGCTCATCTCACTCTATAGGCCAGGAGCCAGCGCTGTCCGCAGACACTTCCGGGTCACGTGGCCAGCGTGACAAGCTGCATCTGGCGAGCCAGCGCAGCACACGGAACGCCGTTTACCTTCCCGCTGCTAAGCGGTCCCTATTTATCTACTTGCACCCGGGGGTGCTTTCGAACTGCTAGGTTGGCAGGCGCTGGGACCGAACGATGGGAGCGCACCCCGCCGCAGGGATTCGAACCGCCGACCTTGCGATCGGCAAGTCCTAGGCACTGAGGTTTTACCCACAGTGCCACCCACGTCCCCATTATTATTATTATTTACAACTAACTGGCTAGCTTATATGTAGGGTTATTGTTTGCGCACTGGATGTTGTCAACCACGCTGCTAATCAATTTAATGGTTGTACAGGAGCCCGGAAGGTGAATGTGCTTATTAACCTCTATGCACAACATGCTGAGCCCATGCCCCTCATCTTAATTCAGCTTTCGCAACATGAATGATTAGTGTTGTCATTAAAGATCAAATGGTGCACTCAATTCAGAAGGCCTGTCCTGGTCCACTCATTCTTCTCATTAAGTGGCATGGGTGCCTATGCTTTTAATGTTTAGCTTATGACATGTCAGGGGTATGAATTAGAGCAAATTATGAATCATAGCTAATACTTAGGTGGTATTATGCCTTTTCAAACTGCGAGAAAACCACACGGCAGCAAACTTGCCCTCATTTCACTTCGAAAAACAAAGAAATATAGAGGTGTTCCTTTATCGTTCAGTTTTGGTCACTGAAGCGATCATAATTAAAGATAACAAAAAAAGGAGAAAGGTATCATTTAGAGGGAACAGTGTGGAGCTTGTTTGCATGCAAGCCTTTGCAAAATCTTGGATTATCCAAATAAACTTCTGAAATAAATTAAATTGAGGGGTTCGGCACAATCCAGCCAAAGTTATTTACACTCAAATACTTATTCAGTGGGACCCGGGTTAGTTCTCATTTCCATTTAGGAGCTGCACAGTTCTTTTTGCTCTCGGAAGAAAGCTGGCGTTTTGAAGTGAAGGCCCAAGACAGGTGTTGATCATCATGTGAGCTGCGCACAGGTGGGCTGTAGCGAGCTACCACCATTCCTGTGGAGCCTCCTTTTATTGAGACAAATATGCAAGCTAGCCAGATACATTTTGGGCTGTGACCTTTACACATCTTCCGTCCCGAGATCGTGGGGTGGTACAAAGCTATTTTGGCACCTGTTCCACAGCGTCATTTTCCCCTTGCACAGTGTATGACATAGGAGAAAAAAGGTCTCAGGGAAAAAGTTACAGACAGGACACCGCTGACTTCTGAGACCGCAAAAGGTCAGACATAGGTGGAACAATGTACCAGACAGCTGTGGCTTGCCTGGGGGGGGGTAGCCCTGCACCCCAAGGTCACGCGTGCAGGCAGACTGTGGCTGCCTGCTGGCAGGGAAGTGTGCTCCCTCCGGACCCCACTCCCCGCTCCGCGATATCCCTACAGCGTTTCTGCCAACGTGACTTCAAGATGGATGGGAACGCCTTTCTACACAGTGGGAGACTCCCCATGTTTGCTGGAGCTAAAAATGGAACCCTCTCACCATCATCAACCATAGTCAATGGCAGTTTCATTCATTGGCCCTTTTCTACCTGTAGTTTTTTTCCTATGAACAAATCTGTAAATTGATGCTTCCAAGTTTTGCAGTTATTCATGAGGGTTTAGCATAGAGGAAGTCCGAGAAGGAGGAAATGCTGCTAGCTTAAATGGTTGCACTTCTTTTCAAGGTTGTTTGCATTTCTAATTTAAGGGCTGCATTTCGATTGCCTGATGATCATTTTGTCTTATAGCATCTTGTGTGCAGTTGAAAGTAAGCACCATTAAGTTCAATGGCGCTAACTTCCAGGTAACTATTCATAGGACTGTAGTTACAACAGGTTGAATTGCAACACGCCAAACCACTACAGCATCCTTTTGCCAGCTCACTATTCCGTGACTGCCAGCTGATAAATTCGGCCTCAGGTTATGAATTGTTTCTCCATGGTATGTGTGTAGGACCTCCTGCACTTTAAAATTTACCAGTACATCACTGGACAATGCAAAAACAAGGAACAAAAAAACAACAAGTTCTTGCATCCCTCTATCTCCTCTCCTCCTCACTTGTGTACAAAAACTGTTCAACCTTATCTGCTCAGTTCTCAAATGTAAAAAAGAAACCCCGAGCCAGCCTTTTCAACAAACCCATTACATAAAAAATGGTAAAATCCTTTTATGCTTTGGTTGAAAGTTGGCAAAAGAAAGCGTGCAAGTCCTATGAGCCTCTGACTTCATAAAGTCACACAAATTGAATGTGAGCATGAAAAATTACTGTTCACGCAGCCTTTCCCAAATACAGTCATTGGTATTAAATAGCTCCTATTTTTATTCACGCATTTTTGATGTTCAAAACACCACATTTTAGTCTTTAATCTTTCTGTGACATAACAGCCTAGGGCTGTTGAAACCCTTTATTTCCAGAAATTAGAAGCAATCTTGTTCACCCAGAATGTTTCCCAGCGCTTGTACCAGTAGGGTGTCATAATATGAATTATGCGCTACATAGTTTATTTGTCAGAGGCACTGGAATGAAAACTATTATATGAATCATTACTACTGACCTTCTCGAGATGGGGATTTATTGCCTCTGCTGCCCCCGGAATCTGTAACCTGTGGGACATTTCAAAGTGTATTTAACAACTACAAACATTCTGAGAGGCATCCTTTACTTTAAGTGCAATGACAATAGTTGGATGAAATTCTGTGAAATACTGCCTAGTAGAAGATTAAAGGAATACCACAGCCCTCTCATTCAACCCAACAATAGAATTGCCCATGATCCAATGTTTCTTACTTCCCTTTAGAATAACCATTTTCAAATGGTCTACCCTTTGTTCGCAATTAGCTGTCTGAGATGGTACTAGGGTACATTACAAAGGATTCTGGAATAGGTTATAGGGCAGGGATGGGGAACCTGCAACCCTCCAGATGTTTTGTTTTATTTATAATGTCTGTTAAATTTATAAGCTTCCCTTCCTCCCAAAAGAGCCCAGGTGGCAAACAGAGAAGTGACGTATTTAAAACAACAACAAAAAATAAAGTAAAGACATTTCTAAACATTTTTAAACAAATCTAACACAACTCACATCCCCATTTAAAACATGCTCTCACAGCTAACCATCTCAAGGTTCCCAGAGACTGTATCTTTCAGGCAGGATTTTTTAAAAATAATTTGTCCAGAAAGGTAAGAATGAGAGAAAGAGACAAAGGAGGACATTCCACAAATGGGGACCTGTCACTGAGATGGCCCAGCAGCAGTGTCAGGAGCTCAGCCCTACACTCGAGTAGGACCCTGGCAGAGACACATGCCAGACTGGCATGTTCTCTCCCTCCTGGTCAATCGTTCGGGAGCTTCCAAAGCTTTCTTCAGCCCAAACATCACAGCAACTGATGCCAACTGACACCGGCACACTTAGGGATCCGCAGAGTCATGCGTAACAGACCTCAGCAACTCAGCAATTTTGGCTAACCTACTTTATTTACATTTAAACACACACGGAGCACTGCAACATGGCTCCCTCTTTCTCCAGCATCAGGCAGCAAAGAGAAAAAGAACAAAGGACAATAGTCCCACTTCACGGAACACAGTAACACAAACATCCTGTTTCCGTCACTTCCCACTCTGTGGAGTCAAAACATATACCGTCATGTGATAGACAACAATCCCATGACTGTAATCATGGAGCAGGAATTCTAACAAGCAGAACCATCAATTGAATATCCCCTCCAGTCATAGGGCCCAATATGGTGGATATTAGACTCCAGCAGTCATCATGCCTTACCATTGGCCATTCTGGCTAGGGCTGATGAAAACTAGAACACGTTTTATCCTACCCTTGCAGCAGATGTGCATCTATATTGTATATATTCTAAATGTTGTTGTTAAGCTTACATGGGAAGGATTTTCCTTGAAAGGGCAGCGTGAAGGTTCTTTTAAATGAACAGATTAACTCTTTACAAGCCTAAAAAGACTGAGACACTGGATAGCAAGGGATAATGCTATAGGTAGTGAAACAGGAAGGATTGCAACAGGGGTTGTAGTACTGGGATTGACAGAGCCTGAAACAAAGTTGAAAAGCGCTGCTACTTCTCTCTTTTTTAAAAAAAGCTCTCTTGCTTCATGGTTTTACTTCTAAAATCAAGATAGACCCATTAATTCCATAATAGTTTTTGCTCTTTGCAGGTCAATGCACCAAGATTTTTACTCTCTCCTTATACTGTAATGCAAAAATTAGTTCCATACCCACCTGCCATTATTTCCTAATTAAATGTTTGAGAACTCTATTTGCACGTGATTGGCTCATAAATTCCTTTTTATAGGTTGTCTTGCTTCAAAACTAGCCTGGAGTCGATAAATCGTTCTACAAATGTCAATTTGGTCAGCAGTAAAGAGGTAAATAGAAACTAATGGCACTCATCAAGCCCGTGGCACAAATGATTTATTGGGCACAATCATTTAGCAGTTTCATAAAGTCAATATGAGAGAAAAACGGGTTTCTTATCAAGGTAAACTGCATTTGTACTGTCAGCACAAAGGTGATTTATGACAAACCTGTGACCAGGATTAGGATATTATAAATGGGAGAAAATGGAAGGCTCATTAATTTCCCCCCTTTAATATATATAACCACAGGTAGAAGACATGCAGTGGGATAACAGAGAGAGAACTCATCCCACATCGGTCTGTAGTTTGCCCTGCAAGCCGGGAGAAAGGAAGAAAATGGTCAAGGGAGTGCCTTGCTGTTGGCATTGCGAGCGCTGCGAAGGTTACCATTACCAAGTGGACGAGGTCACCTGCGAAATGTGTGCATTCGATAAGAGGCCAAATGCCAACCGCACCGACTGCCAGCCGATCCCCATCATCAAACTGGAATGGCATTCCCCATGGGCTATTGTGCCTGTCTTCATAGCAATCTTCGGGATCATCGCAACCACCTTTGTCATCGTGACGTTTGTTCGGCACAACGACACGCCAATCGTCCGGGCCTCGGGTCGCGAACTCAGCTACGTCCTCCTGACGGGGATTTTCCTCTGTTACTCCATCACTTTTTTAATGATTGCGAGTCCAGACACCGCCATCTGCTCTTTGCGGCGGATCTTCCTCGGGCTGGGCATGTGCTTCAGTTACGCAGCTTTGCTCACCAAAACAAACCGAATCCATCGAATATTTGAGCAAGGGAAAAAATCGGTCACCGCTCCAAAGTTCATCAGCCCGGCTTCCCAGCTGGTGATCACCTTCAGCCTCATCTCCATGCAGCTTCTGGGAGTCTTCATCTGGTTTGGTGTCGATCCTCCACATATCATCGTGGACTATGGAGAGCAGAGGACTCTGGATCCTGAAAATGCTCGTGGGGTTCTCAAATGTGACATCTCTGATCTGTCTCTCATTTGTTCCCTTGGATACAGTATTCTCTTAATGGTAACATGCACTGTTTATGCCATCAAGACAAGAGGCGTTCCAGAGACTTTCAATGAAGCGAAACCAATTGGCTTTACTATGTACACCACCTGTATCATTTGGTTAGCTTTTATTCCAATCTTTTTTGGAACTGCACAGTCAGCAGAAAAGGTGAGTGGCAGTGACCTGTCTTTATTCATCTTCTTCTTGTTGTTCAGTTGCACGTTTATGTCAACTCAGAGATGTCCTGTGCTGACGATTGAAGCTACTTCGGCAGAGTAAACTCTGACTGGTACATTTTTAGAGAAGGAAAATGCTTTAAGAGCAACTTTGTGTAATTTGACCATTAAAAAGGCATTGTTGTTGTTGATACCACCAAATTAGCATCTTTCTTCTTTGCAGCACTTTGGTGGATGGAGCACCTAGGTATTTCTAAGTTTGGGGAAATAATTCATTAGAATGAAAGAATCTACTTTTAAAAATGGATGGTTAAAAGGTGGTTTTAAAAAGACTGGAAATTATCCACATTCTGAATATTTATATGAAGTTGTTGAAATGAGAGAGCTTGGCGCAGCATGTTCAGAACCCGGTCCTTTCTTGCAATAGTAGAAATGGAATTTTCTCCCCGATGCAGATACACTAAAAAAACCACTTTCATGTATATTGCATAAAATATACTGTCTAAAAAAATATAGTGTTGTGTGTATGTGTGTATTATGTTGACCCACTTAAATTTGGCTTATGCAGATTTCTTAAAAATGGAATCATCAGAATTATAACCATCTATGTTTCTCCCAGCATATGGTACTCAGAGGCATAGCTTCTTTAAACATGAAGTCTCAATTTAGCAACGATGGCTGAAATCTACTGATAGGTCTATTCTGCATGAAATTACCAAGCCCTTAAAAAAAAAAAGCTCTAAATCAGTGACACCTCTACTTCTTATGGTAATGAATTCAATTATGCATTGTGTGAAGATATTTTATTCTTGCTTGGTCTGAACCTAAATCCACTCCGCTTCACTGGATGACCCCAAGTCCCTACAGTTTGTGCGTGAGAGAATAATTTCTCTTTGTAACTGTTTGGCTCAGATTGGCATGTCTTTTGTTCAGCAAGTTTATGAAGATCATGCTCTAGGCTTTTCCTGATTCTTTCAGTTTTAGCGGTGAGCAATCAACAATGTTGTCTCCTAGTACAGCTTAGGTTGATCTTGACAGAAACTTCACTTTTGAAAATGTATTGTGGGCACTGTTGGTTGTTTCTCAAATGGTGAGAAATTTGTTTCTCAAATGGTGTGTTTCAAACTCGGAAAGGGGGAGACAGGAAGAGTGTGATATCATAACAATGAATCAATGTTTCATGGTGATTCTTTAAAGGTTTCAAACAATTTCCATTCACAAAAAGGAATGAAAATACTGGGAATGAAATGAGAAGCATTTTGACAAGGATCATTGCCAGCAAAGAAAAAAAAATGGTGGTGTCAGAACGTTGAGCCTAGTTTGTAGGTTAGGTTCCCAGCGCTTGAGTGTATTTAGCTCAAGCAAAGTGATGTAACTTTGGAGGAGTGAATTTGTTGACTGTGTGTTAGCCGAGATTTCTGGTTTCAGTGCAAACTCTTAATAATCTGCTGGCAGGACTGAACAGCAGTCCTTAGTGTTCAATAGAAGCAGATGCAACTTCTTCCATAACTCTAGTAGACACAGATTCCATGTGGGAAATAATGTGCAACTCTGAGTAATTTTTGTTCACGTTATTGGAGCACATTTTTTACTGCCTCCCTTATGGCTATATTCCAGAAAAATCACATGGGCACCACAATGCCATTTCACATGACTTATAGGCCCAGGGATGGCAATGCTCCATGTCTACAACTTCCACAGACACAGAAGCAGCTGACCAGTTGGCCTGGAGCCACTGTGGTAGCTTACCATCAAGTAGATTGCTGTTGCTTACTGGGAAGGACTTGGTCAGGAAGTGGAGAGGTTGGCACAGTGCAAACACAGTGGCAGGAGTGCTGGATTGATTCTGCTGGTGCCTTTGCACCTCAACTCTTCCCCTCTCCTTCCTTGAAATCAATAGCAATCCAACCACCGAGGTGCCAGCTCTTCCCCACCTGGCAAGCTGCTTCTGTGGCTGAGAGCAAAATCCCGCGAAAGGTGTGAATCATTTGGAAAATCATCTTGCAGTAGTTAAAATAATATTTTTGTTTGTATCTTTAGGCTGCAGAGGGGAGGAAAGAAAGGAGAAAACCAGTTGCATGAGCAGGTGCCTGTATGTGCTATGTTGGATCTCATTTTAGCGAAGTATTATGGCATAAAGCCCACTTCATCGGTATGATGTATAATCCTAAATTAGCACACAAACACACGGGCATAAGGAAGGGAATGTAAAAGTGGGGGTTATAATTTACCGTATTTTTCGCTCTATAGGATGCACCTGACCATAGGACACACCTTATTTTCGAGGGGGAGAACAAGAAAAAAAATATCTCCCCCTCTCTGCTCAGTGCCCCTTCAGTGAAGTGGCAGGAGAAACAGAGCCCCTTCCATTTCTCCTCCCGCTTCACTGAAGGGGCGCTGCACAGCTCTCCCTCTCTGCTGAAGCCTTGCTGAGTCTTGCTCTCCCGGCTTCAGCAAAAGGAACCCAAAGCCTCCGGAGCGCAGCGGGAGCTCCCGCTGCGCTCCGGAGGCTTCCGGCGGCTATCCCTGAAGCCTGGAGAGCGAGAGGGGTCGGTGTGCACCGACCCCTCTCGCTCTCTAGGCTTCAGCGAAAGCAACACGAAGCCTCCGGAGTGCAGAGAGAGTGTTCCCTCTGCGCTTCGGAGGCTTCACGTTGCTATTGCTGAAGCCAAGGAGCCTGCATTCGCTCAATAGGATGCACACACATTTCCCCTTAATTTTTGGAGGGGAAAACGTGCGTCCTATAGAGCGAAAATACGGTATAAAGAAGTTCAGTTCTTTTCAGTCTATATATTTTGTCTGCTAATTACACATAATCTTGCCCCTTTACCAAGACTATAAAAAAGAGTAGTGATATAGACAAGGTGACTCACCTCTTGCCAACTGCAGCAAATCTAGAGAAGTTATTTCACTGTATAAGTGAAGCTGATGAGGGGTTGTTTGTTGCACCTTTTGCATGCAGTACTCCGAGTTAAGCTTCCTCTGTACATCCAACCACGTTTAATTTCTTTACCAGACAGAAATTAAATGGAATATAAATTGACATAAGGAGGAGCTAGGATACTTGTCCACACTAGAGCAGAACAACAATAAATCAAATCTGACAGCAACCCTAGCCTGGCTCCAGCTATAACTGCCATTTCTTGTCTTGCTCAATTGACAACAAACATTTACAGATGTAATCACGAGAGGCGGGGTTGAGCCGAGTTCTGTTATTGTCTCACTCTATTACTTTTCATCCAACGGAGGTATGTAAAACAGGCAACATGCTGAATGCTTCCATTCCAGATGCTAACAGAGACGTTAAGATAACCTGTGGGATGCTACCTGCATCTGGTATTGGAGAAGGTGTCCAGTCAGTTAAATCAAAAGCAATACAACTCGCCAATCAATAAAGGATTATCCACATTAGCAGTTTTTCATGCCATCTACTGCTGATATTCCCATGTTTCTGCTTAAGGTCATTGATTGGTTTCTGAGGACCATTCTCAGCATTCCCCAAGACGTAGCTGATGAGGACAAAAGGGAGAGGCTTTTCAGTTGTGGTCTGAAGTAGAAAAAAAATGAGGTGTGTGTCATCTAACCCCATCCTTTCCCGCCTTTAAGGAGGCTTTTCAAATCACTTTATTGCACCCAGTTATTTTTAATTAGACCCTTTAGTTCAGGGGCAAGGGAACTTTTTCAATCTGAGGGATATATTCCCTTCTAGGGGCCACTTGAAAGTTGTGCACAGGCACCAAAGGAAAAGGTGGACAGAAAGTAAATATAAGCTTCACCTTTCTACAGTATTCTCACTCATTTGTTCTGCCGCAATGAAGGATAAACCTAAAATGAAGCTACACCCTAAGAGTGAACATGATCTAGCCAAGTGAAGCACTATTTAAGGACTGTTGATGTCAGGGAGAAGGAGCTAAGTTTAGCATTCCTCTAGAAATCCACGAGACTTCAAATATTATTTATTGTTTTCTTTATTACATGTATATCCCCTTTTCTTCCAATGAGCTCAAGGTGGCATACGGGGTCCTACTCTCTGTTTTATCCTCAGAACAACCTTGTGGGGTAGGTCAGGCTGGGAGAGTGTGGACTGGCTCAATGTCACCCTTTGGGTTTCATGACTGAGTATTTGAACTCCCTCGATTATCCCCTGGGTTGGGATAAAGCCTTACAACTGAATGGAGCACCCCAAATGCAGTGCTGTTCCCAGACTTTTTGCCACCTGCAACAGCCCAAAAGGCATCCCACTTTCAAGGGTGAATCTCTTGAAAAGTCTTGCCGCAGCATTCAGATACAAATTGCATCTATTTACACACAGACACTTGTCACTTCGCAGTCTTGCATGCCATCCCTCTTCCAAGTCATACTTTTTCTATTAGGAAAGAACCCCAAAAATAGGTATCAAAAAATGAATCAGAGAACCTGGTACTGATAAATTATGCAGCAGGTAGATAAGAGACTTTGCTTGTTCTTTTCTTATAAACCAAGCTACAGTGGATTTGAGCACAGCAGGCACCAATTCTGGTCTGCCATAAATCCCTCCAAAGAAAGAAGCAATCATCAGCACGTATTTTCTTCTCTGCTGCAGATGGGTAAAGCTTCTGTACCTTTGTACCACTTAAAAGATGCTAAGCGGGCCATGGTTGCCCAGTTTGCCATGAAACAAAGATATGTGACCTTCCACTGCATGATGGTGTGTTCTTATATGTGAAGTGAAAGGCTGTTATTTTTTAATAAAGAACCGAACCCTAAAGGTAGTCATGTACGAGGGTCATTCATTAAAGATTTCCCCTGACCAACTTCTGTTTATCGTAGGAGGATGAAATTGCACATGTATACAGTGGTGCCTCACAAGACGAAATTAATTCGTTCTGCGAGTTTTGTCGTCTTGCGATTTTTTTCGTCTTGCGAAGCACGGTGTCGGAAAAGTTTCGGAGAAGCTTCAAAAATCACCAAAGTCTTCAAAACCCCCCAAAAAGGCTACCACACCGCATGCTA